ATAGGAAATCTGAGATATGATTGTATTAGAAGACATCGACGTCTGCTTAATGGACGAAGGATTTTTCTAAATTTTATTTTTTATCAGTGGTTTATTAAGAAACATTATTTTTCAACTTTCAAAATGATTATTTTTCCTCAATGAAATAGCTAACTTCATAAAAAAAATTTCTTTGTACGTTCAGCAGAAGTTAACATCTCGTAACAGAATAATTTTTATTATCTCATACATATTAAATATAATGATAATGACGTTCATATTACATATAATATACATGAAATAAAAAAAAGTATTCTGTTACGAGATGTCAACATATCCTAAACGAACAAAGACATATTTGATTATGAAATTTGCTATATAATTGAGGGAAAATAATCATTATATAATATATGTAATAATTATTATGATGTTTATATTATATATAATATATATATGATATATTAGATAGAAAGCGTATTTTCTTCTGCTTACCTGTACTTATTATAATTAACTTGTATTTCTATGATGCGAAGAACATAGAAGCGCACGAGTGCCTATCAAGACATCAGATTTCATCCTAGTTTACCCTGACGTGAATCTCTCGTGGCGGTTAATAAACTAATACCTAAAGTGCAAACATACCCAAGACCTTCGCTTATATACAATTTTCATCGCAACGGCGAATAGGATGCGGAAAGCTTAGAGACGTGTTGTCCGTCAACACATCAGAAACTCTCTGTTTATGAGGCCCGCTTTACTGCCGGGTATTAAACTAATACCCGAGGTACGAAGGTTATCATGACCCGCGCATACTCAATTTGCATCGCCGCACGAAGTACGTAGGACCATTCTTCTCCCAAGAAGAATGTGGGGCACGGTTGCTCGATCTGTTCTCGGGTGATGCTCTAATACAAGAGATTTCAAGACCTCCAAGTTAATAGCTCGCTCGGCATAAAATACAGTGGATCTGGAAAAGTGTAGGAGCTCGCAAGGCTATCAGAAATCGTCTCGAAAGGAAGATCGAGCACTTTTCATAACTCCTGTTTTAGTATTGGTAGTAAAGAATGAGATATACTGGGTGGGAAAACCTTTACGAGCTGGGAATATTCAAAGAGCATTACCAGTAACCACGTAGCAGACGAGAAATCTAACAAAGTATTAGGTTTGTCAATAAACCAGGAGCTCTCGTATGAAGAACGCGTCGCACAGTTTGCATAATCTGTTTTGTTATCGAGTAATACGTTAATATAGAAGGTCTCGAGATCTGTACGTTAACAGCAACCTCAGTTTCCATAGTACCATATAATGCAATGGAAGTGTAAGAGTTTGAGGTTCATGAATATATCAGAAATCATTCTAAGACGAAGATGTAGTACAACTTTTCATGACTCCTGCTTTATTATTGGTAGTAAAGTATGCAATATCCCAGGTACTAAACCTTCATGAACTTAATGTATTTAAAAAAGTATTAGAATATCATGGAACGTGTAAGGAATCTGTTTTAGTATAGGTAGTAAAGTGAAATATTAGGTCCATCAAGACACTAGAAATTTTACGAAGAAGATCATGGCGCACACCTGTTTATATATCCTGTTTTTTTATCGAGTTATTCAATTACATAGAAAGTCTCAAGACCTTCGCGTTAATAGATTGCTCAGGTATCAGAAATTCGCCAAAAACTGATTGCATTACCAAGATCACTCCAAGTGATAAAATCTCCACGATTAAATTATGTTGGAGCATCATGTAATATGCAAGGAATCTGGAGAAATATTAGGTACATTAATTCAAGTGAAATAGTAGTAAAGAAGGTCTCAAGACCTCTACGTTAGTAATTTGCTCGGAAATCATCCCCAAACCAAATGTATTCTCAAGAAAATAGGAATCCTCCCAAGACGAAAGAGTAGTCAATGACTTCTCTAAATTAATATTCAAGATATACTTACACGTATGGTGACTCAGTTAGTACTGCAATATCAAGTTGGATGAAAGAAGTTTAGGTAGTGCAAGGTACCAGAAATGATTCCACGACGAATTCATGAACTCAATATCATGCAACGTGTTTGTCAATATCGTCAAACGTTCCATACACTCATATTATTGCTATTTGCTATGTTGTAATTTCCATATTAATAAGAACATATATTTATATAAATATTTGTACGCCATTTCTCTATGATCATTTTGGAGAATGGTCAAAGAAATCTTTTTGCAGTTGCTTAAAAATCATGCCAAACCAATTGTATTCTGAAGAAAATAGAAATCCTCCCAAGACGAAAGAGTAGACAATGAATTTTCTAAATTAATATTCAAGATATGCTTAAACATATCAGTTAGTATCCCAGTATCAAATAGGATGCAAGGAGTATAGGTAGTTCAAGGTATACAAAATGATTCCACGACGAATTCATGAACTCAAACGTTCATGAATCTCGCTGTATTAGGAAGTATTAGTATCCAAGATATGAAGACCTCCGCGGCCTTCGCGTAGACAATTTACATTGTAACATTATACGGGATACAGGGAGCTTAGAGACGCGTGGTCCATCATCAACACCTCAGAAATCTCCTGTTTATGAATGCTGCTTTACTGTCGGGTGTTAAACTTGTATCCGAGGGTATGAAGTCCACCATGACCCGCGCATACTCAATTTGCATCCCAACAACATCAACTAGGGTGCGAGGAGTCTGGAAGCGTACGGTCCATCAAGACATTAGGAATCCTCTCGAGAAGAATGGTGCGCGGTAGTGTAAATCCCGTTTTATGGTCGAATAATATATGTATACTTAGGTATATATACTTTACATGTATATGTATATATACTGTACATGTTTCAGAAACCACCGTGACAATAATTTAAATTGCAATAAATAAGATTCTAGGTATTTGTGATATCCATGACGCGTACACTTAATGGAGATATCAGAGTCTTCTTCGTGAATTTAGTTTTGTTATTAGGTAATATACTAATAAATAAGGCTTGGAAGTAAACGTGGCTTCATACATGTAAGCAATCCAGGAGGTATTATGTTTAATGAAGATATCAATTTTCTAAAGTTAAAATGGACCATCACTTTTTTATAACTTTTTTTGAAGATGATATGACTCAAGGTTACTAGAATTATAACGCATAATATGCAAAACACAAGGAGCCCGTTAACGGACCAGTTCTTTAACTCTTATCTCTTCACAGTCCAGTAATTAGCTTGGATGGGCTACACAATTTTCATTTAAATAACAATTTAGTTTATTTGCTTAGCAAACAGCAATCACACTATTTTACCATTTTCATTTCTATTCGACCTTTTAATCCATGAAGAGCCTCAGCATTCAAACTCACAGTAGTGATCGATCATCAAGTTAATGCTTTAACAATTTAACCCATACATTTTCTCAGTAAATATTTTTATTTTTATGGATTTTCCGTGGGGTTTCAAGACTCGAATAAAAATCTGGAATCGATGATGTGAAAAGTTGAAGCACTCGACAGTAACCCGCCACAAATTAAATGTCATAGTTCAATTTCAAATTTAAATGTTCAAAATTCAAATGTAAAAATTTGAATTTGATACTATGAAAAGTAAAAACGCCCACCAGTAATTGACCACCACCTCGATGCATTAATAATTTAGCCCCTACACGGTTGCTCGATGAACAACACTCACGCCACTTTCATTTTTGCTTCGGCCATAAAGATTCGACCTCGTTGCAGGAAAACGTAACAATACCCAGTAGTAACGGATGATCGAGGTAACACACGCTACCCACGAGACAACACACATCCCTTCGCGAGAGTTTAATCCCGACAGCAGCCACGCGAAAATAATTTCTCCCCAAAAGCTGCGTGGCTCGTTCAGTGCGCGATAAATCAGCGCACGCAACGGTTTGGCTTAAACTGCGGCGCGGTAATACAGAAAATTCGCGCCGACGTTACGTCGACCTTTCGGTTATCCCCAGCAACTTCGATTTCGTCATTTGTGCATTCGTGTACCATTTAAACCTTTATAGCATAATACATTTAATCTAGAACACCGAAAAGAGTGCCTCTACCTAGGACGACTTATTATAAAAACATTTAGCAGAGATACAGATTTATACCGATATTATTTTATTGTTGTGTATTGATTTTGTTTGTAAAGGATTTTCTAGAAGGAACGTATGAAATATATTGGTATGAAATATATTTATTTATTTCCTTGCAAAGTTCACCGAAGTGAATCACTTTACAATCACCGATAATGATTTTCCATATGAAGCTTATAAAATATACATTTTGTGAAATATATCGAAATTTTTCCAAAGCTTTCACATCGATTGTTAGATAATTAACGCTGAAACTACCGAGCAGGTTAATTTCACCTAGGTACTTCAAACTTCTTTCTAAAGTCACTAAATTGTTAAAAAAGATTTCGTTGCAGTCTTCGATTTTCCGAACATGTTGTATATATAATAGACATGCGATATAGATATGTTACCCTTGGTTGTTTTTACTGTTACGTCATGAAAAACAATGTCATTTATCTACCCACTACGACTGACAGCGTTTTGTTATCAAGCAGCAAAATCTTAAAGGCTCCGTTGGGAAACCTTTTAATTTTAATCCAGTTAACTTTTTGAAGTTGGGTGGGTTGAAAACTATCCCACCTTTAGCATAGCTTTACTATTTTATTTAAAGTTTTTCATTCACGTGGCAATACTATGAACTCACGCTAAAAGTACAAATGGAATCAGAAATATATAAAAGTCAAAACGGGTCAGCAAGTTGTTGACGCTGTTCTTCTGTGCATCTTGAATTTTATTTTTCCTTTATAATCGCGTGCCTCGCGTTCGTTTACCCTCTCAAAGTAAATACATGAATAACCAAGAAACATTTCCTTTTTTCAAAAACGAGTTCACGCATTAAAAGATCAAACGCTCTACAGCCCCAACAGACTTCGTTCCTTTCCCTTGTCCAAGTCTCATAAAAGCATCCAAGAACACAGAAAATCCTAAATTTATGAAAATATGCAGAGACACTCACCCTCATGGTCGAAACCTCACATGGTTCCCCCGTTGCCGAAAAACAGCTTTAACCCGCGCTGGATCACGGATCCCACGTCTGTCACCCATCCGCCATCCTCCGAGTCGATGAAAAGATGAAACAAACAGATGCAGCCTCTACTGGTACTCCCGGCTGTGTTCCCCACGTCGCACTGGTCCGAGATTAAGCCTCACTATCGGCGATACCGGCACAAGAAATCTTCCCTTGGAAAAACTTCCGACCCGTCACTGTACGATGCTCGACGTCGCGAACGATGGGAAACGACGCGCGATACGCGGAGCACACAGCTCGCGAGTCGAGTGGTCGATCGCGGAGCCGGGTGCACTCGATCGAGTGGGCGGTCGAGTGCCAGAAACGTGGTCGCGAGACCTCGGGGGATGAACGAGAGCCGGACGAGATGCGAGGTCGTGGCCCGGCAGCCGGCGACTGGCTGCTGCTCCAAAGCTCGGAAGCTCGAACCAGTCGGCCTGGCTAGGCGCAAGCTCCCTACTCAGCCTCGAAACCACCCCCCTCTCGAGTGAACCCTCTCCTCGGTTGCCCCTGAATTTCTTCGGCGTATCACAACGAAAAATGCCCCGTGAACGCTTTCCAGCTTACGCTGCCGCTCGGTCGCGTTAACAGTGTGTTCTTGTTGCGTTTGACCCCGGAACCGGGGTCCTTTGTTTATTAGGAGATGGTATATTCCACGGGACGACCCAGTCTGTGGGAACGTAAAATGGTTTGCGTGTGTATGACTTTAATCCTTTGTGCTCGAGAGGTGATTCTTAGTCACCATCAGGTTTGACGCAGTAAATCAACCAGCAAGTAATGTTTGTTTAGGTTTCGTTTCTTTAAAACTCGAAGTTTCATCAATATAATGAGTGTCGACGAAGTAGATGTGACCTGATTCTGATATCTCAACTTAGTTTGCGATCGTGACGGTATAAACTGGTAAGAAAGCATCTCGAGTTGCTAGTAGATACCAGAAAAAAAGTACTTGAGTGCAAAGGGTTAAGTGAGTAACGAAATGACGGAGGAAAGGAGTTTGACTAGTTTGAGAGGAGTTGAGGGTTGAGTGATGTTCGAGGTTTTTGTGTGAGAAAATTATTGAGGAGATTGATCATACATTTTGTAAGTGCATGGTTTGGTAGGGTATGGAAATTTTTGTGCATGTTCGTTCCTTTGGTGTGCCGAACGTTGGCCTGATTTGTTTATGTAACGTTCGAATTTAATTGAAATGAAGAGGAAGGGAGTTTAGGGTTTACGGATGGGATTTGACTTATTTAAGAGAAGTGTGAGGTTAACGAACGTACATTATAATTATAGGTATAGCTGATAAATTAGTCACTCCTTGAACTGTCATCCTTAGTCGATTATCTAGTACTTCTCAGTCCAATGAATATTGTAAGTCCTCGATTAGCTATCAATAACAGAGTGCTTAATTAATATCAAATAACTTAACACCTAACACTACCCTACACTCTAATATAATCTCCTTTTTCTGCCTACTTGAAATCGAAAATATGCAACACAAGGAATGATGACAACGATAGAATTAACAATTATTATTATTAATAAATCTTAATAAATTACTAATATTAATAATAATAATATAAATAAATGAAAGGCAGAAGCCGCGTCCATGAATGTACGTAGAATATTATACCGTGTAGTTTAATGAATTTCATTTGAACTGAATGATATACCGACTCACGCTGTCCTTACTCCGTCGGCTATTCTCTCCTAGGTTGAAGTCAGCGACGAGTACGGTATGATAATCTGGATTATCTTTGAAAATGTATTCTGTGTGTTCCCGAATGATATTTCGTTCTGCATGTGGAGCGTGGGCATGCTCCAGCGTAACGAACGTAGCTGTCTCCTCCGTGCCGTACACACAGGATGTCCCCTGCAGCTGGGACGAGCTGTATCGTTAAAATGGTTAAACATAGTAGAAAATGTCAGTAGGCAAAATTCAGAGAACATAGGGACTACGTGTTCCTTGTGTTATTTGCATGAATTTCCCTGTTTTTCTGTCGGGATAATCTTTCAAATGATAAAATAATATGTGTTCTTTATTATGTGGACACGTTGAAGAATCTCAGCATAGTAATTCATGACTTATTCGAGTCCTTTTTCGATTATCTGCTCCCTTGTATTATTCTTTATGTATTTTAAGTGTAGTAATACATTTATGTTTGCAATTTTAAAGTTCGTTACAATTTTTGCTCGTGTATAAAATCCACGAACAAGAAAGTGTATTAAGGTAGAAAGCAGAGTGACCATGTCAAAGTTAAGTAAATGAGTTGCTTTACGATCTACACTATACTTTTATGGAAAGTGAATGGATGCATGGATTAATTCTTTCATGATTAGGTAATAAGTTTGATTATTTCTACTATTCATCAATTATGATTATTTCTACTATTCATTAATCATGATCACATCTGCTATCAATTAATCACGATTATCGACGGGCCATCAACCGTAATAATTAATCATTAGTTTCATTCTGTCCCTTTCAATGCTAATTCCTAAAAGCATATGATTCCTTTGAAAGTTATGAAGCTTTCCACAATATGTAATTATACTCTTTTGTGCTGCCAGCTAATTTCTATTCAAACGAAAACATCGATCTTTTGCTTTGTGAAATCGATCGTTTTGCAATTTTCATATCATTTATCGGTACACCGAGGTAGATTTTGATTAAGTAGTCTCTAAAAATGAAAATTTTATGGATACATATTTGTATATTTATGAAAATATTTGTACACTACTTCTCCATGATCATTTTGGGGAATGATCGAGGAAATCCTTTTGCAGTTGAATAATACTTCGACGAACGTATTAAAGTTTCAAGAGTAATTTCGATCGGAGGAAGGTAAAATGTAAAAATAATTTCACTGCTGCACAGCGAAATCGCCGATTACGGTTTATAAATTCTTTTCGATTCCCAAGACTGTGCTTCCAGTTTCTTTTCTCGGCGCATCTCGCATCTTGGCTACTCGAGCAAACTAAGGTTAAGTACTGCTCCGATGAATCTGTAAGCTTGCACTTCAATTCGAACAGAACTCCACTTTCTGCCCACTTCTGAACTCATTATTGGGGCTTCGATTATTTTTACACTCATTTTTTTAATGAATTGCATCCTCCATGAAATTTTGGAAACATCGCAGAAAAATATTTAATGAGGAACATAATTCGCGTATCAATTTATAAAGTCGTTTAAATAACTTTATGATGTTTCATTATTATTACAAATATCATTCTCCGGTTAATAACATTTTTGTGCGACCACTTAAATTTATATTTTAATGAGCATATTATGCCCATCAATCAAATCAAACTTTAGAATGCCTCCCTTAACAACAAATAAATATATAAGCAAAATAATATATACTTTCAACATCGATACATAGAATAATATTAAATACTATCGTATATTCGAAGAAAAACAAATATTCACTATCCAAATTCAACTTACTTCTAGAACGCAAGGAAGAACATCTAAAAGCAATCGACGTATTCTCAAGCAAAATGAAAATCGCTTTTTCATATTTAATTTAAATATATATCTCATTAAACAGTATCAAGCAAGGTATATCTTTGGTAATTTTTATTACGATCAATTAACTTTTTTCATAGAAGAAAAAAATAATTACAAGGAATGAAGTGCCAAGCTGGACGACTTAATTGCCACCTGAGACTCGATAGTCGATTATCGCTCGAAAAAGACGTCTGACGAGGGAACAGTTCTTTTTCCCCCGCGCACCAAACCTTGTTCGCAATTAAACAGGATTGGTTTTTAATTCGAACACGAAGTCGAACGACATTTTGTGCCGTGACGCGGTTTAAAGCCTCTCGCGATGCATAAGTAGCGAGGCGAAGTGTCGCTTGTAATTACAGGAGACACCAGCGGAAAGACATCTCTCGCGTGTATGCTTGAGCCTCAATAATGCACAGCGTAACGAGAACTTCACGGCGAAGTATCCCGCTCGAAGAAGTAATAATTAACACGCCGTGCGAGTATAATTCCCGCGTTTCAGAACCGTGAACCATTTCGTATATATCGGAGAGAGATTTTTAGGTCAGCTTTCCGCAACACTATCTGTAGTGTAACTCTAATTAAAATATAAATTAACGTATCCACCTGAGAAAGCGGGTTAATTATAGAATTCGATGGTAGGACTTTTTGTAAACTAACCAAGAAATTCTCATTAGTTGATGCAAGTTATTTTCGCGATGAGAAAAATAGAAATATGTTTATGAATATTTAACGATTGTAAAGGTGGTTAGAAGTAGTATCAAATTATTTGTGCAATAATTTGTTAAGTGTAATTACTAGACTGCGAAGAAACAATAAAATGCACACACTATGCAATGATATAAAAAATTTTTGAAAGTAATGTTTATGTTATAATTAGACTGCGGAAGTTTATGCACGATAAATATGTAACATGCATATGCAAAACATGCATGAAAAATATGCAAAATATACACGAAAAATTTGAATAAAATATAGTATAATAAGTAACATATTAGTATGTTACAGAATATTCGCTATGTACACACATATAAAATACTTTTCACAATTATTCCGGTATATTATAATTCGCGTGACAATAAATTACGAGCATTTTTTCCAAATTTAATGGTGTTAATTGGTGGCGTTTGTCTGTCAAAATTAATTTATACGGGTAGAACAATCGCTCTATGTCACACGAAGTAATCGGTGCGTATTTAAATTCAGACCAACATTGTTCCGGCACTCTGATTGGTCCTTGAACGCCCTTGTTATTTAAAATATTAGAAAGTTTTCGATACTGTAGAAAATCCTACATTCTTTTCTAAAGTTTAATTATAATACGAAAGTTTGGTGATAGACGAAACTAATTTGTGGAGATAGATATTTCACATAAGCAGGATAAATAACATATGCAATATATTATTGCATATGTTTTTAAACATAAGTATCCAAAATATGCAAAATAAAAAATGTACATATTTTTATAGTACTCTAATTTCAAAACAAATTTCTGTCTAGGTCCCATTCTTTTAACTATTTCCTATAAAAATACGCATTTGCATAAACTTCTGCAGTCTAGTTATAATGTTTGCAGAGTAAAATAAATTCCTATTTAGGTTCAATTTTTGTAAGTATGTTTGCTAAGATTTTATTTTGCATAAAAATCTGCAGTCCAGTAATTACAATATTTATATTGATATTCATTACTCGCAATGGCGATAAGTAGACTGCGGATGTTTATGGAAATTCATATTTTCACAGATACAGAAAAAGAGTAGAAACTTGAACGAAAACTCTTATTTTTATAACATGTATCTTATTGTTGATATTTTATATATTTTTGCATTTCTGGACATTCTTACAAATTAACACATATCTCTATATACAAAAAATGCATAAACATTCCGAGTTATTAATAAGATACGACATTATTT